TCTACACACGTGAGGCATTCCAGAAAGATCCTCGCCTTCGATCGACTAGACGTAAGAGTGACGTTTCGCTGGAGTCACCTTTGGTCCGGGCCCACTGGAGTCTCCCGATCGCCGCGCGCGCTGCGATAGTAGCGTCGTGCGCGCTTGTGTTTGCTCACCCCGCGGCACCCGAAAAGCCGCGCACCAAAGGTCACTCTTACCCAGGGTCGCTCTTGCGTGTAGTCCAGTCGAGGATAGGAGGAGTTGGCATCTCTTCCTCGGGTGGCCCTGAGATCCTGCCGTCTCGAATTTTTTCGAGCGAGACGTTTTCGTCCAGATTCGGACGCCGGGGCCCTCACGGATCGATCCGGCTCGAAAGTTGGCGCAAAGTGATGGGGTCTAGGGCTCCAGCGGTGATTTTCCGCGATGTTTCAATTTTTGAGACGTCGGACCTCAGGGTCGGGGAAGGGCGGCGGAAGGGCGGCGGAAGCTAGCGGAGTTGAAGCGGGGTCGGCTCCGCCGGCCCAAGGCCAGCGGAAGCTGGCGGAAGTAAAACATGCACCCCCAAGAGATGGCGACATTTTTGGGCTCAGGGCTTTGGAACCCATCACGTGGGCCCCCAGATGGCTGAGTGCGATGCGGTAGCAGCGGGCTGTGCGCTTGTGAGCCCCCCGCGCCCCCCGAAAGCCGCGTACCACACCCAGACCCCCGACTTCGTGACTTCTCCTGGCCGTCGACCCCCGGGAGTCTCGGCCCCCTCCCCGGGACCGGCTTCTCCTCCTGAGCCGCTCTTTGACCGAGGCCTGGTGAGAGCCCCCGGGGGCCGAACTGGGGGCGAAAGATCTCCCGTCGTGATCTTGTCACGATGCCGATAGGTCTGGGCAGGTTCCTCTTGCCTGGGGTCCCTCTTGCGTGCGGCCGAGGGCGGCGCGCGCCAGCGGCTGCTGGAGCTTGTGGAGGCAACCGGGCGCGGAGCAAGGGCATCGGCAGAGCAGAAGGTGGCCGTCGGGGCCCTGGCGGACGAGCTGGCTGCGGAGACGTCGCCGTCGCCGGAGGGGTCCATGCTGGGAGGGAGGTGAGCGACGCAAAATTGGGGGAAAGAGCAATGAAAAACTCGGAGGTCCGCGCGGGCCTCTGAATTTTTATGTTTATGTCATTGCTCGTTCCCCTAAAAATGACGGGGTCGTCTGCGCCGACACTGGCGCGTAAGCTGCCCGCGTGATTTCGTGCGTGAGAGCCCTCGTCTCCAATGTGGCGTGCCGCGCTGGCGGCCGCGCAAGCTACCGCGCAGGGTCGCTACGTCATCTCGCGTGATACCTTTCTTCTTTGATCGTCGCTCAGGTGGGACCTGGTCTACACCACGGAGAAGGAGGTTCCAGTCCTCTCGGAAGGGGTCCGAGTACATGGGGCTGGGGGATCGCGCCGCGATGCGGCTCGATGGAGCCCGATTTTCAACGCGCCGACGGCGCCGATGCATCGGCGATGCGGCGCGATCCTCCGTCCCCATCCGCTCGGAACCCATGCGGGATGCCTCTTGAGGTGCTCTCGCTCATCGGGGACCCCGGAGTGGCGGTGTACCAGAGGCCTGGGTTCGCAACATAGCCACCACACCCCCACACATCGCCGCAATTTCTAATGACCTTCGGCGCCACCGTGCGTGGATTGTGGGTCAGAGTTCTCAGGGATGCCTGTGCGTTTCGCATCCTCAGCAGGATCGACTCCGACAGGGGATCCATAGCGAACAGCGTCGTGTTCGGGGATGGCAAGAGGTTCGATGTCACTGGCACGATCGATTGCGGCAACGGGCGCTCGCGAGCGGAGGGAGATTTTCCAGCAGGGCTGCGCAGCTTCTTCGAGTTCACTGGCGCGTCGGTTACGATCGGCGGGTTCACGGTCCCCCTGCCGCCCGTTGGGAAGGGCTGGTTCGTGTCCGTGTACCTCGACGGCACGCTGCGAGTGAACCGGGACTCCCGCGGAGACCTGGCTATCTACCTTCGCGCCTGACCGGGCAAAAGGCTTCTCCTGTCTTTCCATTCTTCCAGGCTTCCCAGATGGGGTCCGAGTAGACGGGGTCGGGGGATCGCGCCGCATCGCCGATGCATCAACCATGCGACGTCGCCGATGCACCGGCGACGTCGCCGATGCATTGCCGATGCATCGTCGATGGTATCGACGAGGCGGCGCGATCCTCCGACCCCCTCCTACTCGGATCCCAGCGGGGAGGCCTCTGACTCCTCTCCTCGGCCGAGCGGGAGAGTGGCCCTTCGCCGCAGTGCCCTCTGGTGCGTGGCTTTCGGGGTCGCGTCGGGGGTGCAAAGAAGCTCGAGCAGGCAGGCCGCCGCTTCCGCATCGCACGAGCGCGCCGCGCACCAGAGGCCACTCTCCTCGTCTGGGGTCACTTCTGCGTATGGCCGGCCCTCGCCGCTCTCCTCGAGGGAAGCTGCCCTGCATCGCTCGGCTTGTCGCCTGGCTGCGGGTCTTTTGTGGGAGCATTGGTGAGGGATTGAAGACAAAGCGAAGGAAAATGAAACCAAAACGATGACGAAAAACACTGTTGAGGTCGATCCCTGCTGGGCGCCCTCTTCTTCTCTGCCCCCCCCCCCCACACTCGTCGCCCCCGCGAGCGCCGCCGACGCCGAGGGGCTGCTCCTGCACGCGCGCCTCTCTCCCCCGTGCGTGGCCAAGTGTTCGTGACGTGGCCACCCCGTGTGCTCCTGTCTCGGGTCGTAGGGCTATGATGCTCCAACCTGCGTTAGCCTTGACCACCGGAAAGAATTTCGAGCACCACGAAAAGTACCGAACCTGGAGGGGTTTCACGTGTCGGGCCATGCGAGACGATCTTTGTTCGACACTTCGGGGTAGACATTGTTTCGATATTTGTTGGGTGCTCGGATATATTTCTGGGATGTGGGCCTGCGACGGGAACAACAGAATCGTAGGGGAACAAACGACGACATAAACATACAAATCGCGAAGTCCGCGCGGATTCCTCGGATCGCTGCTCTGGCCACCCCTGCGGCGCCTCCGGCGCCAATACGACAAACATCCGCGCGGACCTTCGAGCTGGTGTGCTCATGTGTCGGTGTGTGTCCCCTCGGCGCCTGGCTCAAGGCAGGGGCAACGTCATGGGGGAGATCGGCCAAGGGGGGATCACATCGACCTCCCGTCGCCCACTGGTCGCCCACGAGGGCCCGAAGGCCCCACCCCACCGAGGAAGGTTCAGATTCGCGATCGAGGGTCTGTCGCCGATGTATCGCCGATGTCCAGGTCGAGGTTTCCCCTCCTGAGCCAGTCCCCCCCTTATCGTTGCCCCTCACCCCTGGGCTTCCTGCGCCTGGCTCGAGAAGGAAACTGACAAGCGGGAATCGACACGATGCTTCCCTCCTCTCCCCTCTTCGCTCCCTCCCTCCCTTTTTCCCCCTCCTCCTGCCCCGCTCTTCCCGTCCCTCGCATCCTCACCCTCCCTCCCCGCTCCGCGCGCGCGTGTGCTCGGGGGTCGGGGTTCGCGGCTCCACCCGCATTCGCAGCGTCGCTCCGCCTTGACTCCGACCACTCCCCCCCGGGAGTCCAGCCTCCCGCCCCGAGCCGTCTCTGCCGGTGCTCCCGCTGGCCCGGGGGAGCGAGCGCCTCCACGGGCCCCGACGCACACGAGACGCCAGCCGCCACGACCGTGCCGCGTCGCCGGGGTCCGAGGGGCGCTCTCGCCCTGCCCTCGGCTCCCCTCGGCCCCCCTCCCCCCAGAGGACCAGCAGGAGCGCGAGGACGCACTCGCCAAGTTCCGCGCCGGCTCCGTGCGCATCCTGGTGGCCACCGACGTCGCCGCCCGCGGGCTGGACGTGAAGGAGGGCCGCGCCCTTCCGTCGGGGCCGGGCGTCTCAGGAACATCGCGACGGCCGTTTTGTTGTTTCTCCGCTGTTGGCCGCTCTCGGCCAGTTCCCGGCCCCGGGACGGTGACAATATCGACTCAGGATAAAGCCGTTCCTAGGGAAGTGGTCGAGATCCTCGAGGGGCCCGCGTCACAACAAGCTTGTACCGTTGGAGGAGAGGGCCTTGTCAGACAAGGGGGGCAAGGTGGGCAAAATAACTCAAAGCGTGCCGAAGGCAAGTCTATCCTGGCCGCTCCAGCGCGCGGCAGTTGCACAGCGGCATTTGGCCGAGGGGCGCGCTCCGACAGGAGGCGCGACACACCCCTCGGCCAAGATGTTGCGGGGGGGCCCCTGCCCCTTCCTCGTCGGACATGGGCGCATCTCTCTCTCTCTCTCTTTGTTTCTGTCTCTCTCTCTTTTCCTTTCTCTCTCTCTCTCTATATATATATATATATTGTTTTTGTTGTTTCTATCTCTCTCTCTCTCTTTCTCTCTCCACCCTTCCAGATCAATCTCGGGCTCGGAAGAAAAGCACAGCCTGGCGATGCACCCGCCTCCTCGCATTCTCACACCCGTTTCCCAGGGAGAGCAGCCCCCAAGGGCCTCGAGGCCCAAGATCGGCAAGGCCCGGGGCGGCTTGCACGCAGCGCTGGAGGTAGTCCTGGCGGCTGGCCCCTCCCCCTTTCCGATTGGAACACGTCCCTTGCCCCCCCCCCCCGGGGCCGCGCACGTGCCTCGGGCCATGATTTGCGAAGCCTCTTCTGGCACGCCCCCCTCTTACACGCCCCCGGCCTCGGGGTAGCCCCGGCGCGATCTCAGCACCCCGCCCGCGGGGGCCGTGGTGCATCCCCGGCACCGCCCCGGCCTGCAGCCGAGACGCGGAAACCATCCGGACCACGTTGGGTTCACGGAGGGGCTCCGGCTCTCGGGCCATCCCCGAAATTCCGCTCGGGGAGCCTCGTCGTGGCCGAGGCTCGGCGTGGTCAGAGGACGCCCCTCTGTTCCCTTTTGCTCGACTTCAACGCGCACCTTTCTGCCATGGGGGGCGCCTGTCCCAGGACGGTTGGGAAGTCTGCTCTTCCACATGCCGCTGCAGGTGTGTGAACTGTCCGGCCGCGCTGGGATAGGCGTCGCCGATGGCGGAACAGTTTTTGTTCCGAACCGTCCTGTGTGCTGGGTCCTAGTTTCGAATCCGCATCGCCGTGCCCCACATGCCCACCTCCAGCATGTGCTTCTGGATCCTCATTCCGATTCCGCAGCGCCGCTCATCTCACTCCTTCTTCCTCCCCCTCCTCCTCCTTCCTCTTCCTCATCCTCCTCTTCCCATCCCTTCTGTACGCTGGGCTCCTCTTCCCATCCCCCCATCCCTGTGCCCCCCCAGGAAGCTCCACCGGTGGCCCCAGTGGCTGCGTCCGCATGGCGCGGCCCCTCCCTTTTCGGCATGACCCTCACACGCTTCGTGGCCCCATAGGCGTAGGGAGCTCCACCGCGGGCCCCAGGGGAGGCGTCCGGAGGGCGTCGCCCCGCCCCCGTCGGCGCGCACCTCACACGCTTCGTGGCCCCAGAAGGGAGCTCCACCGACGTCTTCAGCGGCGGAGCCCGCAGGGCGCCACCGCCGCACGTCGGCACACGCCCCCAACACGCTCCGTGGCCCCACAGGGAGCGCCCTGCCGAAGGCCCCAGTGGCAGGGCTGGCAGGGCGCATCCGCACTGGCCCAGGGTGCGTGCCTCTCGCGGCGCGGTGCCCGCGAGGAGAGGGCCACCATCCTGTTCTGTCCTTTGCCCGCAGCTGCAGTGGGATGAGTCCTTCGCCACGCTTGAGACCGTTCTGCGTCCTTGTGCCTTGCCCCGTCACCATTCCATCCCTGTTGACCAAGCTCCCGAGTCCTGATTCTCGTGCGGGATGGGCTCAGGATGCTCTGGAAGCTGGGCGCACACAGCAGGATAAGGAGTAGGACAAGGAAAAGGAGAAACAGGATGATGATGAGGTGGGCATCTCGGATTTTACGCCTTTATGCCGCACGCTGCAGGAGACGAGCTCCGGAGATACATGTTTGCTTCATCTGGGTTTCGGTGGGAGCGGAAAGGGGAAAGGAGGAGGAGGAGGACGAGGAGGAGGAGGAGGCGGAGGAGAAGGAGAAAGAGAAGGAACACGATGAGGATCGAATCAAGCAGCTGCGTAAACAGAACCTGCGGAGCTCTGGGCGGATCTCTGTTGTAGGCTCTGGACCTCCCCTCCTGGCACGCGGAGCGCGCCAGGGACGGCGCCGGAGGCGACGCCATAGGGGGACCACCGCCGACCCAGCAATGTTGCGCAGAGCTCTGGAAGCTATGGCTGATGCACTCGTTTTCTGTCAGAGGAGAAGGAGCCTGAGGAGGTGGGCAGGGAGGAGGAGCTGGAGGAGGAGCAGGACAAGGAAGCGGAGGGTAAGGAGGAGGATGAGGATGAGGAGAAGGAGAAGATGGAGGAGGATTAGGAGCAGGAAGGCGAGGATCAGAAGGATGAGGGTGATGATGATGAGGATGACGACCATGCTGATAATGATGATGAGGAGGGTGATGGTGATCATGCTGATGCTGCTGCTGCTGCTGATGATGATGATGAGGTTGATGTGGACGATTATGATGATGATGATGCTGATGCTGCTGCTGCTGATGATGATGATGCTGATGCTGATGCTGCTGCTGATAATGATGATTTGTTCGATGGTTGTGATGATGGTGGCGGGACGCTTACTGCGACAATGACGACGATGATGATGGTGGTGATGATTATGCTGCTGATGACGACGATGATGATGCTGCTGGAGGTGCTGACGATTCTTATGAGGATGATGATGGTGGTGGTGGTGATAATGATAATAATAGTGATGACGATGACGATGACGACAATTACGATGACAATTACGATGATGATGCTGATGCTGATGATGATGATGATGCTGATGATGATGATGATGGTAACGATGCTGGTAACGATGGTGATGCTGCTGATGATGATGATGTTTATGAGTATGATGATGTTGATGATGATGCTGCGGATGATGATGATGATGATGATGATGATGATGATGATGATGATGATGATGATGATGATTTTGATGATGATGATGATTTTGATGATGATGATGCTGATGCTGTTGATGATGATGATGATGCTGATGATGATGATGATGATGCTGAGGATGATGATGATGCTGATGATGATGATGAAGATGATGATGATGATGCTGATGATGATGATGATGATGATGATGATGATGATGATGATGATGGTACCGATGATGATGGTACCGATGATGTTTATGCTAATGATGATGCTGATGATGATGATGATGATGATGATGATGATGATGATGATGATGATGATGATGATGCTGCTGATGCTGATGCTGATGCTGATGCTGATGCTGATGCTGATGGTGGTGATGATTATGAGGAGGAGGAGGAGGAGGAGGAGGAGGAAGAGGAGGAGGAGGAGGAGGAGGAGGACAAGGAGGGAGAGGCGGGAGGCAGCGAAGAGGATGAGTCTTAGCCGTGCTCGTCTGGTGGATTTTTCGTCAGTTCATTGACTAGTGAGGAGGGAACGCACAGGAGGAGTGGGAGCAGGATGAGTGGGGAGGAGGGGGAAGCCGCAGAAGCAACCCCTGTGGGG